TGGATAAATAAATAAAAATTAGGATCATTAGCATATTTATTATAAGGATATTTATAATAAATAAAAATTAGGATCACACTTGAGTCCTCTGTGCCCACATTTGTCCACAAATACAGGATTAAGGGCTATAAAGTGAATACGGTTTGAGGGCTACGGTTATTGTAAACCTTATTTTAAGGTGACATAGTTAGACGTTACCACATGTCCTTACTATAGTATTAACAGTAAATTCTGCATAATTACAAGTCCCTAACTGTAGCTCTATAGTAAGTACATGCAGTTAATTAGCTAATATTACTAATAAGTACAGTGTAACTGTCACAAGTGTAAACAAAAAATGTATTCATGCTGTTATGACCTTTTTATGAATGATCCGGTGAATTTAATACTTTACAAATGAAATTTGCTTCATTATTTTTCCTTTTTCTCCCAAGTTGCAACATCGCTCAGAAACTAAACTGTAACAGTTTTATCTTTTATCTATTTTGCAATGCATATCTCCACATTTCATCACTGCTTTCACTTCAGGGTTATTTTAGTATTATTTTTATACATTTATAGTATTTATTAATATTTTGAATTAGCGTTTATTTTTTATATATTTTCAGTGTTTATTTTTATGTTGTCATATTTTTAAGATTGAGTCATTTTATGTGCTTTTTTCCATTTTTATTTTGTATTTCTATGCAGCTTAAATTTTATTCAAGTTTTATTTTGAATCATTTTATTTCACTTAGTTGCCAAGGCAGGAAAGCTTCTAATATTTACATTGGATTTTATTTCAGATTTCAAAATAAAATGATTTTCAACAGTATAGCCCAATCTCTACCAGCTGACACGTTTCATTGCATGCCATGAAAAGATGCAAACTCAATGGCTTTGTCTCCCTGCAGGAGCTGTCACGGGTTCATGCACATGAAGTTCTCGCAGTCTCGTGATGGGAAGTTCATCCTGGGAGAGAACAGTCCTCCGTTCGACACCATCCCTGAAGTCATTCATTACTACACCACAAACAAACTGCCCATCCGCGGAGCCGAACACCTGTCTCTGCTCTTCCCGGTGCTGGTGCAGACGCTCTGAGGCCACACACACACACACACACCTCATTATCAATCACACATTGAAGGCTCGAGCAGATCTTTGAGCGTTTGATTTGTGTTCGGAGTGCGTTTTCGATTTTTCCGGAGCGCGATGCGAATGGAAACTCACTGTATTGACGTGCGACACACATATGAAGAATATTCTCGCTGGACTTTAATGCTTCTTTGCATCACTGTGGGAACTGCAATATTCATTTTCTGCTCCAAACTCTTCAAATGATAGATTTAAGATTTGAGGATAAAATGTAAACTGACCAAAGTATTTATAAACATTTACAATACTAAAAGAAAAAGCAATGTACACTACAAATCTCATCCTCTGTAGAGTTTCTTGTTTTCAAAAGTGAAATAATTCACACGAAATGACGATTCTGTCATTTACTCATCGTCGTGTCGGTCCAAACCTGTGTGACAAAAGAGATATTTTGATGCTTTTTGAGCTGCTCTTTTTCCATGCAATGAAATCGAATGATGACCGCACTAAAAAGGGTCAAATCATAAATATAGTCCATAATAAGTCTTTTGAGGCCATACAGTAGCTTTGTGTGAGGAAAACGGCACAATTTTAGTTGTTATTCATTAATGTTTCATTATGTCACAGCTCTTAATTCTCATTTGTGTTTCCTCGTATTCAAACTAAGGCAACTTAACAACTTAAAAATTGACATAAATGGTCATAATTATGAGATAAAAAGTTGAAAGGGTGAGTTAACTCTAAATGATAAGATAAGTCGATTCTGACAAGTCCATTTTTGGCAATTATGCCTCGTCATAATTTATATTTCTTGTAAATTTTTACTTTTTATGTCATAGTTATAACGTCACAATTTATGTAACATTTTTCACCATGTTGAAGCTCTCGATTCTCATTTTGTGTTTCTGCATTAATAAAACTAGGGCAGAGGGAAAGATACAAATAACTTAAATTTAACTCAAAAAGTTTTTAAAAAGTCATAATTATGGCAAAAATTAAAACTATGACAGTAATTATTCTGACATTATTGCAAGTCGAAATGAATGGTCAAAATTGACAAATAATAAGAGATAAAAATCAATTGACAATCAAAAGTATGAGTGAAAATTGACAGTAATAAAAGTTTAAATTATAAGATGAAGGCTTTTTTATAAGTGGCTGCATAATAATGATTTAGTATCTCAAAGACATTTTGTTATAATTATCAAATACCAAAGCATTTTTTTTCTTTATAAGATAAGTTTAAAGTATGACGAAAAGGTTGCCGTTGAGCCATTATTAACATTTAAAAAAAATTATGCCATATAAAAATTATGACATGAAAAGTTGAAACTTAAATTTTAGCTTCAAAAGTCATATGGACTACATTTATGGGGCTTTTTGTCTTTTTTTAGAGCTTAAAGGAGTAGTTCACTCTTAAAAAAACTTTTGCTGATAATTTACTCACCCACATGTCATCCAAGATGTCCATGTCTTTCTTTCTTCGGTCGAAAAGAAATTAAGGTTTTTGATGAAAACATTCCAGGATTTTTCTCCATATAATGGACTTCAATGGGAACCAAACGGTTCAAGGTCCAAAAGAGAGTTTCAGTGCAAACTGCAAACTGTTCAAAGGGCTTTAAACGATTCCAGGCGATGAATAAGGGTCTAATCAAGTGAAACGATCGCTCATTTAAAAAAAAAAATAGTAAAGTTTAAGTTTTATAAGCACAAATGCTCGCCTTGCTCTGTTCTGTGATGCGCGTTCGTGACTCTCCTGTTCGAACTTATCTTTTTTCGAGTCATTTGGTTGATTCCACAAACGAAATGAACGAGTTGACTCTGGAAAAGATTCGTTCATTTTGATGAACGAGTTCGAAAAGGAACGCGCATCACAGAACAGAGCAAGGCGAGCATTTGTGCTTATAAAACTTAAACTTTGTGGGTTTTTTTGTTTGTTTTTTTAAATGAGCGATCGTTTCGCTTGATAAGACCCTTATTCATCATCTGGAATCGTTTAAAGCCCTTTGAACCGTTTGGTTCCCATTGAAGTCCATTATATGGAGAAAAATCCTGGAATGTTTTCATCAAAAACCTTAATTTCTTTTCAAATGAACAAAAAAAAAAAAACATGGACATCTTGGATGACATGCGGGTGAGTAAATTATCAGCAAAAGTTTTTTTTTTAAGAGTGAACTACTCCTTTATCTGAGATGGTCACAATCCACTTTCATTGTATTGTACATTTAACACTATTCACTGTAGTTCTCCCTTTCTGTTCCATGATATACGATCATGCTGGTTTGGAAGGACATGAGTGTGAGTGAATAATGACCGAATTTAATTTTGAGTGACTGTAGGTGAACATCAGGGCTTCTCTTTAGGAACAGGAACAGGAAAGCGGTCCTTAACTTCCTTTTGTCAGTGTAGAAGCGATGAATCATTGTTTAATGGTGAGGGAAGCGAGGATATGTGACTTTCACTCGTCCGAATGGATCCCAGAGGATGATGAAAACAGGAAGTGATCTAATGCTACACTTGTGCTCCGGTCTTGTAGTATGACAGGAAGCAGTCTTTATTACGGTGGCGTTTCGCTTCACTTAAGGCTGCTGTCACAATGCGACCCATCATGATACCGCTCGGTGCCGTCTTAGCAATACTTAAAGCTTCATGAGTTACCTTACATGACTTTTATCTTTGAGTTCATTTAGGTTAACGTGATGTTTGAAATAAGGCCAGTTTGACCACGGTGAAATCTAGAAACACAATCTCCCTCTCTCCGATAAACAGCTTTTATGCTAACGTGGTTTGGGATTGGTTTACTTGCTCGTGACACACACTACTGCATTTTGACTTGCTTTAGAGATCCATACGGTTGCTGTTTTGTTATGACTGTAATTTTAGTGAGTTTATGGGTTTTTTCTATTTGCTGTTTTCCAGCTTTTCTTTGGAATAAATAGTCTTGTTTTCTAAAAATATAAATAAATTGTGTGGAATTATTATCCCATGGTACACGGTTGTATGTGACATTACTGGGTTGAAGCGAGAAGCAGAAGGCAGCGAAAACACTGTAAAAATAGGTCAGACCTCCTCCATGTGACTGAGCTGACACATACTCTGTTGTTGACTCTGAGCTCTGATGCCTCTGGGTATGTGTGTGTTATGAAATAATGTCTGAAATGTTTCTCCTATCGCAGTCTGCAGATGATAAGAGCTCTGTGACTGTTTTAAAGGCCTTCTATTTAGCTCTTGCGCTTTGTCTTCTGCATCTCTCGACCAACAAATGATGGTTTGCTTCAAAACCTTTAACCCTCAGGTGCTCTTCGTTTCGGAGTCACACTTGTTATCTTCCCGGTCAAAAGTGACCGGACACCTAAAAATGAAACTTTCTCCATCCCAGTAAAACCAATGCAATTTATTTTTGTTCTATAATATTTATTCTTTTTAATTTAACAATTTAAATGAATTTATTAATATTTATGCAATATTTATGGTTTATTTTTGCCATAGAAAAATATATATTATTTTCTATATATATGTTATTTTCTTCAAAAAAATATTAATGCAGTATTTTAGTTTAATATAGAGTCTAGGCCTTCAGAAAAAAAATACTTTTTGAAGAAAATTAGCACCATCTGGTTACAGTATAGAGAAAAAGCGTAGAATCATGGTGTGACCACTAGATGGCATGTGCAGCTCTCTATGGAGAGGCATGTGAATTCCCCAGCTGTTTATGAACACATTTTTGTTGTTGTTGGTGGTGGATTTGTATATATAGTTGAAACAATCTCAAAAACTATTTCTTATAAAAAAAATGACAAAAAACAAATATTCCCAATTTTTTTTCTTTTTCTTTTTTTTTACAATTTCCCATTCATTTCCTATGGGGTCATTTTTGACCAAAGACCACAAGTGTGACTATTTTTTTTAAGACCACTTAGCATGCTCAGATCATGACCTCAATTTTTTTTTGTGTTCACATACATAATGCCATAAAAGTCACTAAGTTCCGTAACATCGCGATGAAGCTGTGATTTTTAAAAAATTCAAAACATACTTTTTGTAATCAAAATTTATTGGTGTGTATGTGTATAAAAGTGTGTTTGTATGTGTGTGTGTGTTGGTGGGTGTGTCTGTTTTGCACTCTAGATGTTGTAGAGTGTTACCCCTTTACTGCGGTGTACTTTTTTTTTTAGAATTGTGGCCGATTTGTAGATTGTACATACAAAAATTCAGAGAATTTTTTTTTGTATCAATTTCCCATTCATTTCCTAGGGGTTGTCATTTTTGACAGAAGTGTGACTCATTTTTTTACGACCACTTAAATTGCTCGAATCATGACCTCAATTTTTTTTGTGTTCACATACCCAATGCCATAAAAGTCACCAAGTTTCGTAATTTTGTGAAGAAGCTGTGATTTTTAAATATTCAAAACAGATTTCTTTAATCACAATTTATTGGTGTTTTTGTGTATAAAAGTGTGTGTGTATGTGTGTGCGTAGGGGTGGGTATGTCTGTTTTGCACTCTTGATGTTTGTTTTACAGTGTAACCCCTTCAATGCTGAGCACTTTTTTTCTGCATCGTGGCCGATTTGTAGATTGTACACACAAAAATTCTCAAAGTTTTTGTGTTTTTGTCAATTTCCCATTCATTTCCTATGGTTGGTCATTTTTGACCGAAGAGCACAAGTGTGACTATTTTTTTTACGACCACTTAGCCTGCTCGGATCATGACCTCAATTTTTTTTTGTGTTCACATACCCAATGCCATAAAAGTCACCAAGTTTCGTAACATTGCGATGAAGCTGTGATTTTTAAAATTTCAAAACAGAACATTTTTCGGTCAGAAATGACCGAAGAGCACCTGGGGGTTAAGTTATAAGCAGATGATTGGTTAAGTGTGTATTCTGTACGTGATGTGGTGTTTAAACCACGTATCTTGATGTATTTAAAAACCGATATAAGCAGCAAATACAAGAACAAGTAGGATAATGTTGGTGAATTATCAGTAATAAGGAATGGGGAATGTAAATCAAGGAAAATCGTGTTTTGGAAAATTATAATTGTCATAAAAGATAAAAAAGATAAGTTGAAATTACGACAAGAAGTCGAAACTAACATAATTATGGCAAAAATTTAAACTATGACAGTAATTGCTAGTCGAAATGAATGGTCAAAATTGACTCGGTATAAAATAATGAGATAAAAATCTGTCAAAATTGACAGTAATAAAAGTTTAAATTAAAGGCTTTTTGTCAGTGACTACATAATAACGATTTAGTATAGTTTTCTTTTTGTCATAAATATAACATTTTGTTATAATTATGAAATACTAAAGCATTTTTTTCTTTATAAGATAAGTTATAAATTCAGACAAGTCAAAGACGAGATAAGCAGTTATGATTATGACATCACTAATATGGCACAAAACTAAGGCACAAGTTGAAATTGTGAGATATTAAATCATAATTGAGCTAAAAATCAATTGACTCTCATAAAAAATGTAACTATGAGATTGAGTCAATTTTTGTCAGTGACTTTGCATAACTGTAACTTAGTATCAGTCTTTTTACTTTTTGTCATGAATATAACATTTAGTCAAAATTATGATCTAGCAAAGCTTTTTTCTTTATAATGAGAAAAGTCAAAAATGAGAGTCATAATTGTGACAATCAAAACTAAGACAGTGATAATAATGACATTCCTGCAAAAGTTTAAATGACTGGTCAAAATTTATACTAGTAATAAGTAAAAAAAATTATGAGACAATCATAAATGAGATATAAAAAAAATCATGACAAATACAAAATTATGATGTGCTAATAAAAGTGATGTCCTAATTATGAGGTCAAAGAGTTCATAATTTGATTTTATTTTATTTATTTATTTTTTTACCAAATCATAATGTGGCAGAAATGGGCTTCTGAATGAGATATTGAAAAGATAAAAAGGTACAAAAGCTGTCACTGGGGCGGTACCTTTTCAAAAGGTACACTTTTGTACCTAAAGGGTGCATATTGGTACCAATATGCACCCTTTAGGTACAAAAGTGTACCTTTTGAAAAGGTACCGCCCCAGTGACAGCTTTTGTCCTTTTTTTTCTGAGAGTGCATCATGTCGGTGTGATGCACTTCCAGATAGACTTCCTGCATAGACTTTTCTCTCAGTTTCTCTCAGTTCTCCTGTGGTCTTTGTCCTGCGCGTCACATTCGAAGTGCTGTCCTGAGGAATCCAGTGGCACCCCTGTCCTGAGTGAGTCACACACACACACACACGCACACACACACTGAAGAACTGTCCCGCATCCTTGCATTGTGTTAATGTCGGTATGCTGAGAATGTCTCGCCGCGTTACTGTCCGCTTGACAAGATGTTTATTATAATACTGTTGTGTTTACACTTGGGTAGCTGACATGCTACACTCTAAACTATTTTAAACAGTATTGTG